AGCTGTGCTGATGAGGATGATAATTCGGGGCTGTTCCCCATTTCTTATGACCTGGAATCAAAGAAGAAATCTCCTTTTCTATCATCTCCGCAATCTCCAAAGGTTCCCAGTCACTGATTTCTAACTCTCTCACCATCTCTGTTGCTACATCCATCGCAGTGTCATTCACAATGTCAAAGGGAAAGTATATGTTCCTAGCATTTTGCCCTGTTATAAGAAACCACCATCATCAACAATGTGCAAATAACAATTTAGACCATAAAGTACGGATTATGAATTTAAGGGTCTCTTCAATCTGCACGATCAATTAGTCATATGTGCAAAAGGGCTGAGAGGGAGTACCATCCTGGTCCGAAATCTGAACTTTGAGAAAAATAGTATCATCCTCTGGATTCATTTTCCCAGTAATGATCATGTTTGTGCTTCTTTTAAAATCAACCCCCAAGTCCAAAGGTAGCTCCTCTTCCTCTTCCTCCTCCTCCTCCTCCTCCTCCTCCTCCTCCTCCTCCTCCTCCTCCTCCTCCTCCTCCTCCTCCTCCTCCTCCTCCTCCTCCTCCTCCTCCTCCTCCTCCTCCTCCTCCTCCTCCTCCTCCTCCTCCTCCTCCTCCTCCACTGCTGAATCATCATTAAGCATCAAGTTTTGAAATGGGATTCTTGGGGTGGACAGGAGCTCTCTATCATCAGAGGCTAGAAAAGGGTCAAGCAAGAGCTCATGTGCCGGCAACCTCTTTGAGGCATTTTCCAAACACTTCCCTACAAATCGTTGCGCCTCCAAATCTTCAATCTTGTAGAACGCGTTTGGGAGCTTCCCCTGCAAGCAAAGAAGTCACATTAATTAGATCATGGTAAATTACCAAAAATGAAGTGTCACATACTGAAGTGACCATCAAACTTACTGAAGTCACTTTCTTGTAAATTTGGGCAGGATTTGAGCACTCGCTATATGGATATTCTGAAGTGAGCATTTCCAGCACACACATGCCAAAGGCGTATATGTCTACTAGCTCATTGTATTCCTCCTCGTATAATTCGGGTGCCATAAATTCCGGTGTACCTGATGAAAAAAAGAAGCATATTAAAATTGAAAATTAGGAAGATCAGATTCACTAACTTTCAGAGACAGAGACAGAAAGAGAGGGAGTTAAAGATCATTGCCTATGACACTGTGAGCATGATGGGAACCACGAAGAACAGCTGCCAAACCCAAATCACCAATCTTGACTTGCCCAAGATGGCCATTAACAAAGATGTTGTCACACTTAAGGTCTCTGTGAATCACAGGTGGATCAAGTTTGTGCAGATAGGCAAGGCCACGCAAGATCTGCCTAGCCCAATTTTTCACTGCTCCAATACTCACTCGCTGGTACTTCTGTCTGTACCTGTTTCAAGTTCCACAGCATGCCTCATTAATCAAACAGTTTCAGTTTGTTTGGTTTCTTTTTTCGAGTACGAGGATTTGAATTTAGGACATTTGAGTTTACAACTCATAACATGTTCTAGCATTCAACTACCTTTAACATTTACATTCTTTTTAAGTGTTCCATGCTAATATATATTATAGTTGTAAGTTGTGGTTCATTACTCTCTGAGGGTGCCAGAGGTGAACATTTCGGTGATGAAGTTGAAGGTTCTCCGATTGACATCGATCCAAGACATGTAGTATTGGATGATGGAGTCATGGTTGAGGTTCTTGAGGAGGTGCACCTCCGAGTAGAGACGCTGAAGTTCGTCCGGCGAACCAAAGACATCTTTGAGCTTGACTTGGTTCCAAGCCACCTCCATTCCCAGGACCTCATCAAATGCCTTGTAAACTGTCTTCATGGCTCCTTTGCCAAGCATTTCCCTGAACTGCTTATGACACAGTAATTAAGACCAAAAGGCCCTCTTCATTAGTCCTCATGATCTCACTAATTATCATTAAAATCAATTATAATTCTAAGCTTGGTATGCATGCATGGCTGTTAAGAAAAGGTCTGGGAGGAGCTATGGCTAGCTAGCTCGGCTCCATTGAGCCGCTCTGTATGAATGCAAAGTGTCTGGTCTTCATGCCGCACAAATTGGCATGCCGGACAAGTTTATTGTACACATAAATAAGGCTGCATCATCCAATTGGGCTAATTAAATATTGAAAGTGAATCTTAGATGACACTTTTTTTTTTTCATTTTAAATCAAATTAATACCATTTCACAAATGAAGGTTGACCAGCACAACAGGAAAAATAAATTATTTAACCCTCCAAATAGCTCAAGAATATATTTTTCTATTCAATATATATGATCCAAATTTACATTTTTGTCATATTATTTGACGAAAAATGTGAATTTTGTCCTAAAAAATTTGACAAGTACAGAAAAATCAGAAATATTATTTTCATAGTTGATGGTATCAAGTTTGAATTAGAACTAGAAAGATGGAGTTAAGATGCTTCTTGAAAGATATTATCCAAAATTGGGTAATTTTCCCTGCATGTAATGATGCAATTTACATGCAACAAAAGTAACTTTATTTACAGATTTTATATAATAATAATACGAAGAGATCAAACTTACACGTCCATAGCGGCCAGATGGATCCGTTTCAACGTATGCAGGCAACTGTGGCTTGCCTCCATCGGCACACGTACTTCCCAACCGGGTGGTGTTCATGGCTGAGAATCCAAGCAACCTCGGAAACTCTCCGACCAAACAACTCCCGGCTAGCTTTTGCACTTTGATTATATACTACGTACGTATAAAACCTAGTAATTATAAACTAATAATTCAACAATACTTATATGGGATGTGTATGAAAGATTCTGTGGCGCGTGCTAGAAGATCCGAGGCTTTCCCTCATGGTTTTCATAGGAGAAGACCCGGAACAGCAACCAGAAAAGCCTCGAGTAATCAACACTAAGCATAATCCAAGCCATTTCCACAACCCCACGTGAACACTCGTAGTTCTTAGCAACCATTTGTGTGAAAGATGAAGTTGAACCAAGGAAATTAAAAATATATATAGAGAGAGAGAGAGAGATGAGATATATCCAATTCTAATCAAGATTTTTTTTCAGAAAAGGACAGACTAAATGGAGGAAACTGTTAAGAGGTGGATGTGGTGGTAGGGAAGAGGGAATAATATTTTGTCAACTAATGGACTAGAATTTGAAAGAAAATAAGCTTGTGGAGGAGGATTAATTTCCACAAAGTCTAGAATATCAAATGATCATATGTAGGACTTTGGCATGAAACTGGGTTATTAATCCTAAACTTGAAGAATCTGTGGCTACACTTTGATGGTACCATTTGTGGATGTAAAAGCCACCCTAAAAAATATGAATCAGAATTAGGGGAAAAAGTTGGGATTGATGAGTTTGAGAGAGACTTTCAAGCTTGGAAAGATTTGGGCACCCTGCAAATTCTGCAATCAAAAACAATATGCTTAGAGAAAAAAGGTGGTGGTGGTGAGAATATTGGGATGGTTCATTATAAAAGAAAATAGGTAGGACTTTTAGTTTTTTTTTTCTTTCTTATTTTGTTTTTTGTTTGGGGTCCCCAATGTAACGGAGGTGACGATATTGGAAGAAGTCCAAACTCCAAAACACAGCAACATTATTGCTGACAGTGTTGATTAAATTGTTTATGATCAATAAAAAGTCAGTGATTGTATTGGGAAGGGGAAGTCTAGGTTCTTCTGTGATGGAAAACTGCACACAGAAGATTCAGAACTCAGATGCCAGGACTTCAATTTGAGGCTTTATTTTCACTCAGTCACAATAAATACCTCATCTGGTTCTTACACTTTCCTCTTTTGTTTTTTTATTTTATTTCCTCAGGTAGAGCTTGCTTATCCTAAACATGTGGTTATACAATGCTTACCTACTAATTAAGGATTAAACCAGTTTTTTTTTTTAATAGCTGAGATACTAATTAGTGATCTGGTTGACAAAGTAGCAATCTTTCGTTTTCAAGTTTTCCAATTTGATTGAACATTTACATCTGTTTGAAAGAGTCTCCTCACCTTTTTTTTTTTATTATTCTTATCCGTTCTCTGTATGCATACAGGTGTTCCCTCAAATTTGATTTTGAGGAATAAAATATTGTTGACATCATAGGTTTTGTCCCGTGTGTGAATTGTGACTAATTTCTAAGTATTGGGTTGACCTTACTGTTAGTTGTTAATAACCCATTTTGTATTTTATTGTGAATTAGTGCAATAATTCATTTTTTTGGGAAATAAAATACTATGGAGCATGTGTGCTGAGACAGTTGCCCAAATTTGTTGTAACACAATTAGGCATTAGATGAAGTTATAATAATACAGGTTGCATAAAACAATACAATTAAGATATCTTCTGGATGGAGGCACGGGCTTAGCCAAGTTGACTAGAATAGATGTGCTCCCCACTTTGCACCCTAGTTCAAATTCTCCCCGTAATTTAGATTATATTAAAGTAGAATATCGTTTGTATTAAAAAATAAAAAATAAAAGATATCTTCTGGATATGCTACATCAAATGACATAAGTGTAGTAAGTCTTTAGAGATAGTTTCCTTCCTCCTCTCAAGCTAATCATCTACACTTTAAAGAAAATAGGATGCATTATCTCATCTTATGTTTAATTGTTTACTTGTTTACTTGTTTACTTGTCTTGTAGAAAAGAAAAACAGCATAGTAGAAAATAGAAATTTCAAATTATGTTAAAGTAGGCCATGTCCAAGGACAAAAAAAGAACGAAAAAGAAGAGAAATTGTGGAGGTATGGGTGGTCTCACCAACACAATTTGCCCCAGTACACAATGCTTCCTGTTACTGCATCACCCAAACATTTACACGGCCCAGGCATTAAGGATAATAGCTGGAAGGTCCTAATTTGTCAAAAGAATCAATCATGATTTTGTGTGTAAAACTAGCTGGAAGCTCCTACTATGATTGTGCGTATCTGCTAAGAGCAGATTAAAAGGAAATAATGAGCCATCCAAAAGGCATAACCCAAAAAAGAAGAAGAAGATTGTGAATATAAAGTTACATCAAACATCAGCAACAATACTTCCAACAGTGGTCGTACAATTACCCAGTGGGGCAACGGTGGGAACAAAACCTGGGGAAAAGGATTGTAGTCAAACAACCTATACATGAAACTACTCAGTGTGCAAAGCACAGCTATCAAGGTTTAAAGGGTGTAAAAATTATTAGTTGAAATGTACAAATGGCTTCCAACAAACATCATATCTAACTCCATATGTAACGTCTATCGAAAAACAAAAGAAGAAAAAAAACAACTCCATATGTAAACGCTTCAAAAAAAGTTGTGGCCGAGCCATATAAGTGCCGAAAGTTCAGGCTCAAGCCAGTATGTTAGCAATTCCCGTAAATCTTTCATCCGACCAACCATATAAATAGATCATCACTTGTGCTGCAGTCAGACTGATAATGGCGGGAAATCATCTTCATCTTTCAAACGGTATGATTGTGCAGCAATCCTACATGTCCAAACAAGAAACGCTTAAACAGAGTCCTACCGTGCTCACTAGTGGTAGATAAAGATTCATAGAAACCACAATGAAAACCATACCTATTTTCATCTGGACCCAATTCAGCTTTGGTCCACTGCATCCCTGGTGATCCTTGGCTACCACTCGAGCTTTGACCGACTGATGAGCCAGCGTTGGTATGCCTGCCACTCCCAGGTGCCTCTGATGGGGCATGCCCAGTTGACCCAAATTCTACAACTTGCTCGGTGGGATGCATTGAACCATTGGCATGAGGGTGTACTTTCCTCCTAGGGGAATCAGAGGGGCTATCTGAAGACACAGATTTTCCCCCACCTTTATGAAGAGACATTTGTACTTGTGATAGATCACGACTGCTTCTCTCAGACATATGATTCTCTGGATTTGGTGTCATAGCATGGCCATTGTTACGAGGAGACCTGACCGGTGCTTGATTTCTTCCCCTTGTTACCATGGGCTTATCTCTGAAATGGTTCTGCAAAATTTAAAGCATAAAAGCACTTCAGATAACAAGGCCCAGCGACTGAAACATTACCTGGAAAGAGAAACTGCAAACTACAACAAGATTGACAGAAATCTGCCCCTTAAAATAAATTATGATATTAAAAACCAGAAGTTGCAGAGGCTTAAAATGAGTATACCGTATTAGGAAAGTACGTTCCTGTTCCTCGTGGCTTTGGCATTTCCTCTACACCAAAGCCTGCACCATTAGGTAACATTGGTGGGTTCATAGGATAGAATGCTGGTCTAGGGACAATACCATTGGCATTCATCTGGGAAAATGCATTTTGCCTGCGCTGCACTGACTGTCGAATTACATCCCATGGTTTCTTGCTCTGAAACTGTGAATGCACTGGAGGTGCTGCCATGGGAGGAATTGCAGCATTTAGCTCACATTCGTAGCACCAACGACCAAAGTTTAGACTATATAAGTGACTTTCATGATCCCCACTGAGATCTGTCAAAGAGTTGGAAGGTTTCGGACTTCCAGCAGTACTACTTGACATTGGATAACCAGAATAACTAGGATGGAAGTCTTCAGAGGAACCCACAATAGCACTCAACCGTGACAGATGGTGCTTAGATCCAACAGGAGACAAAACCTCCTGATTACAACCCAACTGATTTTCATCCTGGTTACCAATCCAATTATCAGCCGAACCAAAGCTTTCTGGCAGTTGCTGATCTTGTATTCCATTGCTAATGTCCCCATTTCCAGTTGATGAGTGAGAGAAATAGAGATGAGGTGCATGATGGGCTTTACCTAAAGGAGATATACTCCCTTCGCCATTGGAAGGGAAAGGATTTTGAGCATCACTTGAAATTGTAAGACCTTGAAATCTGGAGGTAGCAAGGTCTTTTGCATCCCCCATAAGACGGTATTCCGAAACAGCAATTCCATTTGGGGAACTGTCATCTTCCGAGAACATTGTTGGGGATGCCACCTTCATACTGCTTTCATGTGGTCCATTCACACATTGACCAGGTATCTGAACATTTGTAACTTCACCATTCCATGATCCCTCACTATTTAACCCACATTCCCCAATCATGCCACTTGAATAGGCAGATTCTGATTCATAAATTATCTGATCTTGTGACTCTGTACCTGCAAATAATGACGCAGAACCATACCCATCATATCTGGACAATGGGACAAGATCTTGGACATCAGGCCTTTGTCCACCTCCATGTCTATCCAATGTGTTTGCGAAAAACTTTCGGATCTCATCATCTATGTTATCTTCTGTCTGAGAAAGTATGCGCCCTAATTTACGAGCACCATATGTGAAAGCACTTCTTATTCGGTAAAAGTTTCCTGTAATTAGGAATACAGGGTTTCATCAACTAATGAAAATACAGAAAGAAAAAAACAGGAGAAGAGGTCTATAGGGAAACGTAGTTCACCTTTACTCACACTTCGGCCAAGATTGTTATTGTCTTTAAGTGGATCAACTATGTTAAAATGCTTTGGTGGAAATGTTCTATAGTTTGTCTCATGTCCTCTTGACGGAACTGAGAACCTTTGCACACACTCCTTGAGAAATTCATTACTAAGCAATAGATCATTCCCACCATTCTCTGGTGTCTCAACTGCAAAAAGGACCGCAAATAATCTCAATTAAACACGTCTGCTCATACAGCATGTCGCCAATGCAAAAATATGTTGCTCACCTAAGAGTTCTGGAAGTGAAGATACGCGAACCGGACCACTCAAGCTGATGCAATAGTTGTCCCAATCAAATTTACTAAAGTAGTCCAAGAATTTGTATAGGACCTATAGAACATTGAACAACAAGTTAAATTTATGTCATAGAGATATGGAGCATGCTAGTGCTAATTCATTAGAGCACTCACCGCTAGAGGACCATTCAAAGATGAATGGAAGAGATGGAAGATATACAGGACCAAAGTCTCCAAAGCATATGTCGAAATCAAACCATGATGGGCACCAAGAATCCGGCTCTCATAATAGCACCATGCCTTGATCAGTATGATACTGCGCTTAAAGAGATGGTCTTTGCCAATAAGGCGATCAACCTATACAGCATCATGGATATGATTAGGGAAGAAAAAAGCACAAGTAAATACCATAAGACTGAAAAAAAATTTATAAAATGGCTTGAAAAAGGATAGAAGAGGGTGGCCAACACTCAAAAGAGTACCGACTGAAGATCCTTCAAGGTTATCAGCTATAAGGCATAAATCAGCATGTACTTTCTACAGAAGACTAGAAAGAGACATTGCACTGGACAAAGCAGAGCTTCCAGTGAAAGCATCTCTTCATATAAATCTGGTAACCCATTCAATTCGTATTAAACAAATCGAACTTCATTTTCAGTTCAGCTTTGTATGAAAGATTACCTGCTCAAGAAAGCATAGTGTGCATAGCCCTCCTAACTGATTGAAGGAAATATCAACCACAATATTTTGCACAAGGCACTTTACAAGCTTACCCTGCCACAAGAAACCCCCATATTCTTTACCAAAGAAAATCAAAATTTGAGTTAGGAAAAGAAAGTTACACAACATACTAGCACTCGGAACATAAACTTACTGGACATACATGGTGGCATTAATCCTAAGTTGTAACTTATACCTATTATCAATTTCTTTCAATACGAATACGACATCTGTTTGACTCAACCAACGATCTTTAATAAAGTACAGGGGTAAATAAAAACCTCTGCCCGAATTAATTGGACATCTTTCACCGTAAACTCAGCAGCTCCATTTTGAACTTCCCTTTCAAGGACAGAGCAGACGTCATTGGCCAGCGCCTCCTCAACATTTATACCACCAAAAGCAGTCAAATCAATATCTCCATCAGGCAGATAGGTCTTTAGAGGTACAGACCCAAATGGGAACACCTGCCACAATTTAAGTATAAAATCAAAATATGCCGCACATGGTTAAACCCCCTCACACTCCCCGTAATATCACACATTTGTTATCGAAATGCAAAATGTGGAGTTGGGAAGACAAATCAAATGATTTGATGAGAAATTACATATGAAAGCACCCAACTTGCTCAAAGTAAAATTATAAACAGAATTGCATTAGCTTAGCTAACACATAAAATATTAGATATATAAATTCATGCAGGACAAGCAAAATTGGGATTGAAGTAAAATACCCAGCTAATCATAGAAAGCATGTTAGACCAATTGAACCAATGAACTACACTAGTCATAAACTAAACTCAAGGTCCAACCTTTGTGTAGCTAAAGCTAGACTTGACGGCAAATAACCAAATTTTAGGGGCTTTAATCACCAAGTTTTCTGTAATCTCAAATAAAAAAACACCCTTTGCAGTCCCAACACATCGTAGAACACTAAATTCAACTTCAATATTATGATTCATTCACATGCTTATATAAATATACGTAATGCGTATGTATATGTAAAAAGACGGACCTCGCAACCAAGACAACCTCTAATGAGCCTCTGAACGTAATCAATGACCGCCTTCCTTCTCCTCTCGGACACGTCAGTAGGCTGAACCTGAGCTATGACCCCCTGCGTCGCTTCCTCGGCTTTCTTCCAGTACTCGGCGCTAATACCCGCTGCGGCCGCCGCCGACGCCTGATTAGATGAAAACAGGGACGAAGGTGATGATGACAACAACGATGCCGAGGACGGCCTCTCCTCCACAACGGCGCCGTTTAGTTCAGACGACCAATCTTCCCGAAGATCGCCCATGAAATAACCGAATTACCGTGAATCACAAACAAACCGAATTAAACTTCCTCACGCCGCTTGACCGTACAGCCATGACGACGACGGTGAAGACGAAGACTCGAATTGGAAATCGACGGCGCTTATTCGATATGGAACTTTGATCTCTGGCGATCAGATTGTGCAGATTGGTACGGACGGTTGAGCAAAACGGCAGGGTGATTGGAATGAAACGACTTAAATTTGCGATTGAGGAGATGGTGGGTTTTTTTTTCAGATGAAAAGATCCCAAGTGGTGAGTAAGTGGGTTGTCGATTTTATGTTTTTTGAGGGTTTTTTTTTAAATTGGGGGGATTTTGTTTTCAGCAAAACTATAAAACATAAAAACGTATCTGTCGTTGTTTTGTTTTCTTTGTCCGTCTCTCTCTTTTTTTCCGTTCCCACCTCTTTCCGTTCTCTTGTGCCAATGTGTTTCCCTATTTCCAATTTTACCATTTTCAGGCGCGAAACGTCAACGTTTTACCCTCCAAGTTTTAACAATGGACAAGGGCTGTATTTGAGCACCACCTACTCTGCACCTCCTTCCCTTTACATTCCGATGGCTATGGTTATCTTTTCTTTTTGACAAAGCCATATTTCAAACTAGTTTAGTGTATGAGAATCGGGATCGAAGGTTAATCACATTGCCTTGGTCAACCGGCCTTTTCAATTTTTAAGATATAGTTTTATTTTCAATTTTGCATAATAAGAGGTTTTTATATTATTACTATGAATACTCAATTTCATGTCATCATCTTGCCTTTCTCGGTCATTTTATTTTCTTATTATAGTTTCTTTATGCACACATTTCTAAATTATTTTGTTAAGAGGGATAAAATGATAAGAAATGCTAAATACCAAATATGAAATCCCACGTTTATGTACATTGACATAAATAGTTTTGCTTAATAGGATATGTATAATTACACAAAAAGAAAATTTACTTTTGTTTGTATTAGGTGAATGGATCATTACGAATTATAAGCTAACAAGATACCCTCATTTTATATATGGTTTTATTTATCTAAAAGATGAAATTTCATTAAACGGAAATATTGATTACAACATGATCGTTATCAATAATACAACAAGGTTATTCGATTGATCGTTTTATTTTCACATTATATTTTTCTCTATTAGGTCCATAATTAAACCACTTGATAGAATGTCATTAATTTATTTCCTAAGGTGATTAGTGTAAATTCCTAATTAGCTAGCTAGTGACCCTAAAGCATGATGAGAGGTAGGGTTTGAAGGAGGAGGCAAGAGGCTCAACTCAACTAAAGCGTAGAATGTCCCACAAAAGAAGTCGACATAGGGATAGAAGAGGGATTCTCGAGAAGAATAGGGAATATACAATGGAGATCCCAACTATGCATGTTTTAATCTTTTAAGCCATTTGGTCCAATTCCCAAATGGGAAAGTTATCCAAAGTAAAGTTGAGGGAATATCAAGTGTGGAGGTTACTTTCAAAGGCTCCACCCCTACCCACTTGACGACTTCTATGCCATAAATAAAACAAAATTTGATTATATTCCATCAACAACACCATAAAATGACCAAAATGAACAAAGCATTAACAATGAATATTAAAATAAAAAGCTCATAAATATGACAAATACGAAGAAGAAGAAAAAGGAATATATCAGGTAGAACTAGATTGGACTATTTTAATTAAAATAAATAAGAGTTTTAATTGTTGTTTGGGATGATACAATTAAATTTATCAAATTGTATAACAATCCAACATATTGTGTCTTACAAGTCCCACCTAGACAGGTGGACAAGACTCATAAGGACTGACTTGAACTCAACTCCAAACCGGGTCACCAAAATATGGAAGAAACAGGTGTTTCCACGACTCTACCGCCCAGTCAATTCCAAATGAGGTCATAGTTTATGTTTGGGCAATAAGTCGGCCCACATATTTCAGGCTTACTTTATACAACCCGGCCTTCATATAACTTTACTTTCTGTTTTGGGCCCTTAACCCGAATGCTCCAAAGTCCAGTCCGAATGATATATTGTTCACATTTCTGCGCGGAGACTACTTGCTCACCTGCAACCTCGAGTCTTCAACTCAGACAAACTTTAAGAAGATCGAGTGAAAGCTCGGAGTGAGTGATAGAAAATACAGGATGGAGGGAACTGAAGGGAGATCAATTGTCTCACTGTTTCTGATGCTTCTGTTGTCTTTGTCCATGCCCTGTATATCTGATGCTTACAGGCCAGGTGACATCGTCCCCATGAGCAAGATGGGTCTTTACCACTCTGTCCGTACTCTCCCAGTCTCTCCCTGTGAAGTATTTTACTCAATTATGGCTCAAAATCTAATGGGTTTTGTTGAATTTGATGGTTTCAGATGAAAACTGAATGGCACGACATGATCGGTCGACATTGCCCAATCTTTGCTGTGAATCGTGAGGTAACCTCAACCTGCCTGCCCTTCACTTTTTTTGTATTTCTCAATTAGGGTTTTCTTCGTCAGTTTTTGTTTTGCAATGGTTAGCGTTTTTATTTGTTTTTCTGATGTATAAATTTGTAGGTGTTGATTCCTATCGTGAAGCCGATGGGTTACACGGGGGCTGATGCCTACAAACTGTGAGTATAAGTAAAGGCTGAAACTACCGGCCTTATGCTTCAAATTTATTTTCTTTTATTCTATTATCAGTATTGTATTGCTAATAATGAGAATCAGCTAAGCTATCTATAAGTAAAGGTCAAGTGTTTCACAATTGAGATAGTTTATTTAATTTAAGAATTTCAAGTTTTGAGGTTGGCAGCTGAACTTGCTTTTGTATTTGGTTTATTGAATGTGAAAAATCTCAAGTCCATAATGTTACAATTAATAGCAATTGTTCGTTAAATTTCCTTTGACAGGCTAGTAATGTGATAGCAAACATGTTTTTTCAGAGATAGCCTTGACAATTTACATGCCAACTCTTAGGGTCTCTTAAGAATCAATTAATACTTGTTCTGTATTTTATTGAGATACAAGAGATGCTTCCGGGAGCCGTAGCCTTAGATTGTCTGTCTGCTCCTGAGTTAGGTTATCTGGGTAGTGGTTGGATATTCTAACTTATGGTCTTTGGAAATTTGTTGTTACAAACACGTCTTTTGCCTCTGCTCAAAATCACGCTTACAGAAAGAGTTATTCTCATGCAGATCGTTTCAAGTTGGGAGAGAAAAGTTTTTAATCCCATGGCTTTTTGTGATAAATCGTAAGAGTTCTGAGGTTCCAATGATTGAAGTCCATTTGGTAAGTCATGGTTTATGAGCATTTCAACATATTTACCATGCCATCATCTTTTAAGAAAATGGAAAATATGGGCTACCTGGACAATATGGTTTCATTGAGATACAAACATTAATTCTGTAAATTTAGAAATCTATATGGAAAAGAAAGAAGTTATTATCTGTATCTTTTATTGGCTAATCTGTTATTGTGATCAATTTGTATTGCAATGCAGAGGTACTCAGGAAGTGATTTGCATGGTGTCACTGCTAAAGTTGTGGATATGCCTCACCACTGTATGTAATGCCATTTTGCTCATTTCTTAATCTAGTTCAATGGTTTGCTTTCCATAGCGATTCCAGCAGGCCCTTTTGAAGGGCTTGTGTTGTAATTTAGGCTCTTTATCTTGTTTTTGGTCAGTTATAATTTCTTTGGGTCTGTCCTTGATGGACAGAGGAATAAGACTCCTCGATTACATTGGTGCAGATATAAGTTTTAACTATGATCTTTGGAAAAGAAAAAAGCACATATAGTTGTAAGAGTTATTTTCGCTCTTGCTTGAGGAGTTTTTATAACATTTTGTCCTGAGCAGATTTAGAAATCCATCCAGACATACGTAAACAATTTTGGGATCCTCAGCACTGGCCAAAGCATGTGCTGGTCAGATATACATGGTCAGCATCACTTCACTTTTCTTTTAGTTATGATTTGCATAAATCTTAGGATTCCAAATTTTGCACTTTGTGAAATGTGACATTATTTTGTTGTCTGCATGCAGGCAGGAGCAATCAGAGATTGACGTGACTTCCGGATTTTACGTATTGTTTGGATCAGGTAAAAATCTTTGCTTGATCTAATTACATATGTTAATTATATATTCGTTTATCATTCCCTATCTTCCTGCAAGCCTTGCCTTCAAACAAACAGTTTAGAGAACATACAGTTTCTTTGGCTCTCAAGATGGACAACCTAATGATATATGTATAAATTTGATGAGAAGCGGCCTACAAATGTGGAGCCTTTCTGACACCATTGCTACTAAATTTCTTCATGCATTCAACAGGTCTGATGCTTTCTTTTATTCTCTCAATATACGTCTTGCAGTCATCGCGAGACAAATTGGCCAGGTACTTCTTGGAAATATTTGGGTATTTTGTTGGCTAGAAACTAAGTTTATGGACAAGCTACCAAAATTTCATTCACTGTTGGTGTGGTGATTAATGCTTTGCTCTAACTGTTTTTCTGGTAATGTGATTCTTTCCAGGTTTGTGAGGGAGAGAGTTGCAGAAAGCAGCATGCCCGCTGGAGGTGTGGCAAAGGTTGAATGATAGAACCTTGAAAGCATCAATACGTTGTCTGCATGTGCAACTCAGTCCTGAAGAGAATTATATTGGTTGGGGAAGATATGATGCTGTGAACGCATTTCGTTACCTTAATTTGCTAAAGAAAGGCAATTCCCCCTTCTCTGTCGCAGCCCAACAGCTTGGACTGAGTTCAAACTAATTAGAGTGACAATTTTTTGTTTTTTCATATGTACAAGATTGATCTGCACGGTCCCAACGTTTCTGTAAACTCTCACAGATCTACCTCAAAAAACATTTAAACCATGCTAATATCAGATTTGTAGCGTAGAGCAATATGTTTCTTTTGCTGATTGGTCGGCATGGTCAAAGAAAAAGGCCAGAGAGTGCTGCTCCTCTCTCTCTCTCTCTCTCTCTCTTTGGTGAATGCATTCGTTTGCTTATTCTCCACTTTTAACGAGATTAAAGCACCACTATTGAAATCCTTTGTTCTTATAATAAGCGAGGGCTGCAAAACGTGAAGAAGAAAGAAACCAAGAGAACTTAAAGATATTTACACTTGTAAATTAAACCAGCCATACATTATAGATACATTAAAAATAAACCACTCGGGAAGCAAGCACATAGAAATGGAAAGTACGAAAACAAAAAAGATGAAAATGATCATATACATGGTACAATCAAATAAAATGAAGACATAGAGAAAGTAACTCTTTATTGATTAGGGAAGTACCAAACCCTAAACACAAAACTTCCAATCTACTGCCCGAGGACGATTATTCTAGCCCCAAGAACACGAAAAGAGAAGAGCTAAAACTAAACACGAATGAAACTAGCTCTAATGACCACTTCGATGTAGTACAAATAGCAGCACTCTTTACTTTATCTTAATTATTTGGTCTAGATCACAGCCGGTAGCGTTAAAATTTTGAGCATCCGAGTGAATGGAACTGAGGAAAGGGACCTTCAAATAGCATGAAACAAGGTGCATGTAACGCCTCCTCCTTGCACCAATCCTAGTATAACAGTTGACATACAACTTGAAAATGAGGTCAAAACTCGTACTATTCTTAAACTTGGAAACCTCTTCTGCCGTAAGAGCCACCTGCGTCTCCCCCTTGAAAAACCATGAATTAAATAGCTTCACTTTCTTGGGCCCTACCATGAAATCGTTACTAAAATAAGTTTCGTTTGTTCTTTGGAGCATCAAATTATTAGTCTGGTTGATCGCGGAATAAAGAACGCCGTCAGCTTGGTTAATTACGTAGGCGCATTTTCTGTTAGGGTTTTCGACCGTTCCGTTGACGGCTATGTAGTACTGGAGGACGGTGTCGTTTCTGGTGAGGTTGTGCGTGACCAACCAGACATATTTCGCTTGATACTTGAGGAGTTCACTCCGGCCATCGAAATGTAAGAAATACATGATCATACCATGGGCGGCTCCGGCAACAAGTAGAGCAGAAGTCACGATCAAAATTAGGACGATGCATCTTACCATGGTCGTGAATTTCTAAAGAGAATATAAAGAAAGAGGACAAAGTAATTTGTAAATGAATAGCCAGAGGGTTTTTAAAAGATGTGAGATGGCAATTCAAAAATGAATACAGGGTTTGAAAATGGGAGCAGAAATTTCGGGATTTCGTTTTGTGATCTTACAAGTTTAGGTCGAAAGTAGGGAAACTAGTGCTTGGCTTATAAGTTTTATTAAAGTTAATTAAAATTGAGTGCTGGGAATTAATTACTTCGCAAGTTCCTTCTTTTAAGAATATCAAAGCGGATGTGATTGAAGATTTGAGATCAATTACTAATTACTATATAGACTAGTAAATTAACTGTATCAAAATTTAAGCCCTACAATCGTGGCAATTATATTCAATCAGCCAACCTTACATTGGCAATTAATATATCAATAAATAATCGTTCTAGCATCTGTATAGTGTGTGTGAGTTTAATATATTATCGCCTTCTCAATAAGAAAGATCCTTTAAAAAAATAGATTTCTCAAGATTCTCCTTTCTCGTTATGGTGACTATCATTCTCCTTGTGTAGAGGATTATTTCATCTTAATTTTGACAGTCTGGTGTGAGAGTTCGTCTTACTAAAATATTCAAAGTACAAGAATCTAAATGGCTTGGGTGAGACCAAAATTAAAAACTTGTCAAATTAATGCAACTTGCTAAAAAATAAAAATAAAAATCATAAGCTCTTGAAATGAACCCAAGGGTTGGTTGGTGGAATCGATTTCCTATTATTTTAACAAAAGAAAGAAAAGATCGTTCTTATACTTATGATAAATATAGAATTATACGAATATACAGAAAGAAATAAAATAATACTTTCTTTATTGATTTGATAAGCAAACTCTAAACAGAATCCCAGTCTACATAGCCAATGCCATTACCATGCATGACCATTATTACAACGTACGAAAGAACAATAACACCAAATTAAAGCCAACAATTAAACATAAAATTATTATTAACTAATAAAACATGAAACCCTATTAATGTTTATGGACAGTGCACATGGTAACGTTAAAACGTTGAGCAAATTTTCCGTCGGATATCAAAGGGACCCTCAAATAGCAGACGGCGTTGTAATTAAAATGCGTATGCCTTCTACCAAGCTTGGTCGAACTTCTACCACTGGCGACCCACATCATATCGAAAACCGTAGCGCTCCTCAGCTTCGAAACCTCATCGGCCGTAAGATCCACCCGCAACGCCTGGTTCTCCGATGAAGCCAAATAAGCCACTCTGTTGTGGGGTAGATCGAACCGCTCAAAAGTGCTGGCTGACAAAATGTTATTCTTAAACCCGAAATATGCAACGGTCATAACCTGCTCAAAGTGGTAGGCACCTTTCTTGTTAGGGTTTGTAGCGGATGCATTGATGGCTAGGTTGTATTGGAGAGTGATGTTGTTGTTGGCCAACTCAAACTGGGTGAAGGAGGCTTCGAACACCTCGTACCTGATGTGTTTAGTACGACCATTGAAAACAAGATAGGATGTAAAACCACTGATGGCTCCAAGAACAACTAGTGTACCAATGGTGCTTAAAATAATTCCGATGCATTTAGCCATGGCTAATTTCTGGAGCTAATTCTAGAGAATTAGAATGAGAGAGGGAGAGAGAGAGCAGAAAGTGATTGATTTGTGAATGAATAGAATGCTTGAACAACAAGAAAGAATGCAATGTGGTGTAAACATTGAGGGTTTTATATAGGGTTTAGAATGAAACAAAGTGTGTTAGGGATGGCCGCGTGAAAATTAATTACCAATTAGGCTGTGATTTTGGGATTTTGTATTATCATCTTACATGTGATTGTGTGAGTTTTGGGAAACTAGTGGTTGTAATTGCTTGGCAAGTTCATTTCTTTGAGAGTATCACGCGGGGCAATATCATTCAGATCAATTACTTGTATTTACTATAGCCGAGTAAATTAATTGATTTAAGCCCTATAATTTTGGCAATTTGTGTGAATTTCGTTTTGTGGGCTTGGAGCCTTGGACTCTGTTTGATGCCAACCTCGGGCTGTCTTGTTTCTAAACCATGTATTTGGGCTTTTTTATGGAACTTTTCAAGACCAAAAATAAGAACAAATAAAGAACAAGGAACTTTTCGTGCCCCATATTTTGACATAGACAGATGTTGCCGTGTGACTCCAAGGCAGCACTTGGGTTTGTCTCAGATTAAACAAAAGGTGGTCTAGAGAAGCCTCAATTGATTCTTAATCAACTCCATGAAGCTTTCCTTTCATTTGTTTAATTTTTGTTTTCTTAAGCAGCACTTATCAAATATTCATCATCAGGACCCACAGTGACTAGACTTCCAAGGGAACAAAGAAATTTGGAAGCTATAAAAAATTACCAAGTGTGGCTAGTCATTGGAGAATTGGTTGGTCCCCACTACTGAGATTCATGGTACAGGACGAATACAAAATCACTACTCTTTGTTGAGTGACATCGACTTCTTCTTGTCCCCAACAAAGACCCATATGGTCTTAGTCTCAGATTTTAAATCAACCAGCTCAGTGAAATTAGTGCATGTCCCGGTGGCTAGAGTGGTAGACATGTTAGAGCATTTCTGTCTGTAAGCAACACAGATTATTAGGGTTACTAAAGCTTACCTAGTCATTCTCATTTAGGCGTGTTTATTTCCCATTCCCTATTTTGAGGGTATTCGATTACTAATTTTACGGTGGAGTTCACATAATTCTTTATTTCTTTTGTGTTTGTAAATGAGGGAGAAGTCAGAAATTAGAATAATTTCAATATCCATGTATTAGTAAAAATAAGAGAAGCAAGAATTGGAATCATTCCAATACTCATTTTTTATAAGTAAACGTGCCTTAATTAATTATTAGTGAGTAGAAAATGCTAATGGAAGTTGAGAATTAGTGAACCTAGTGGCAAATGCATAGCCTCTAGGAACTAGAGTTTTGATATCGTGTTAGGTAACCTTTATACCCTAAAAATTTAAGTTGTCGAAGATACTTCTAAATCATACGTGACGACACTCACATTGATTGAACTTTGGTGGCCTTCATTAATTTACCTCATCTATATATTGAGATAATGTAAATTAATGAAAGTAGATATTATACATTTTCCACCACCCTCTCATAAGAGCAGTGCAAGCAACCAATTGTTGGACCAAATAGTGGTATGCATTATTACAGAGATTACTCTGCTCCAACGTGTTCTCTAACTTTATAAGTACAATGATAATATAACTATATTTCATGGTTCCCCTAAATTATTGGCTCAAACAACAACTTCTTCTTTTTTCACGAACCCTAAACCCTAAACCCTAATTATTTAGTACACGCGCATATGCAACAATCCAAAACCCACACACACAAAAAGAAAGAAAGGAAAACCACCAAAAGCATAGATCTTAGTCCAATTAATTTATCTCCAAAAAGGTTATACAAATACACAAATATACTTAAATTATGAAGCTAGATTGACAAGTTGGTTCTGGTAAACTGCCCCAAACCATATGCTGAAGCTTTGGTTGGTCCTGTTGGGCATCTTCGTACTTGTGAAGGGTTCTCCTTTGCTGCTGGTCCCGACTGATTGGGAACGTGAGGTTGTGATTCTCATACACCACGCTTGCCTTTCTTAACCTATATGCTTCAACCTTTTTGTAATTTGCACATAGTTTTTTTTAGTTTAATTAAGAGGACTTTTTGGGTTAAAATGGCTCAATCTAGTACACCTCTATGATTATTAATTATGTCTCTAAGTCCCTCTATTATTAATGGAAACACACTTTACAGCCGAAAGCTAGCTAATCTCCACCTTTGATTGGCTTCAACTTGTGACCTAATTA